GGAAATAGGTGTTAGTTGGGGGATGGGTGTGTGGTGGAGGATGGGTGTGAGGTGGTTGATGGGTTTGATGTCGGGATTGGGTGTGAGGTGGGTGATGTGTGAGAGGCCTGAAAGTTGTGTGTGTGGTGGGTGATGGGTGTGAAGTGGGTAATGGGTGTGAGTTGTGAGTTGGGTGTGAGGTTCGTGATGTGGGAGATGGGTGTGAGGTGGGGGTTGGGTGTGATGTGGGTGATGGGTGTTAGGTGGGTGATGGGCGTGAGGTGTGAGGTGGCGTTTGGGTGTGAGGTGGCGTTTGGGTGTGAGGTGGGCGTAGGGTGTGAGGTGTGAGTTTGGTGTGAGGTGAGTGATGGGTGTTAGGTGGGTGATGGGTGTGAGGTGGCAATTGGGTGTGAGGTGGGCGTTGTGTGTGAGGTGGGCGTTGTGTGTGAGGTGGGTGATGGGTGTGAGGTGGGTCTGAGTTTGAGATGGGGTCTGGGATTCTCTGATGATAAGTCAGGCTGACGGTCTGAGATGAAAAACTAACAGCCGTTCATTTCTGACACAGGACTGAGCTGCTCTAATCGACGCTCTGCTATTCCCACCCCGAGAGATTCAACCTCACTTGGTAAAGAGAAACTTCCCCGTGAGCGGTTCCGTGTGCCACTCTGCAAGAAGACAGCCGCTCTGGTGAGCTCTGACACTGTGGCTCCAACAAGACCACTTCCAACAGCTTTAAAAACCAGAGCCCAGGGTGAGGAAAGTGCACAAGCAAAGCTTGAGACTCAGATTAAAGAACTATTGACAGAAGCCAAGGCTAAAGATTTTGAAATCAGTAAATTAAGATGTGAGCTGAAACATCAACAAGACAAACATGAAAAGAATGATCTGGAAGAGCTGTCAGCGTTTCCTGGCAAGGTGGAATCACAGATAAAGAAGCTGGAACAGAAAAAACAGATTCTCCAACATGAGCTCGAGGAGATGCGGGTGGAGAAACAGACCCTACAGGAACAACTGGAGCAACTCAGGGAAGGTGTCCAGTCTGTGACTGAGGGTAACTCGCTGAGTTTAGAGGTCTCCCTCTACAGTGATCCCAGCTGCAGCCTCTGTACCCCAACCTCACTGGAAAGTACCAGGACTCACACCAGGGAAACTTTTGATAACTCCCTCCTGGTTATCAATGGGGAGAGATCTCACAGCTCATTCTCCAACATGAGCAGTGTGACACCCTACCCAGATTCAACGGACCTTAACAGAGCTTTTAACCTCTCTCCTGGTAGCACTAATGGTTTTGAAGGCAACATCAGCTCCAATCAGGAGCCTCTGAAGAACACTGGCTCAGTGTCAGTAGACTGTCTTGCTGAGAAGCTGCATCAGATGGAAGAGAAGCAGCATTGTACAGCAGAGGAGCTACAGGCAACCGTACAAGAACTGTGTGACCAGCAACAGGTTGTTCAGGAGCTGACAGCTGAGAACGAGAGACTGCTGGAGGAGAAAGCCAATCTGGAAAATTCCTTCCAGCTTCAACAGGAGAGGCTACAGCAGCTGGTCAGAGAGAAGGAGGCTCTGGGCAGTCTGAAAGTGAACAGAGGGACAGAGCTGACTGATAGTGTGCAGACACATGAGGGGAAGCTGTTCACAACACAACAGTCAGTCAGTAATTACCAGACTTTGCAGGAAGGGAAGCCAAGAACTGAAGTCCAGCTGGAAAGTCTCAGTGATGAGGTCAGAATGCTACAGAAACTGCTGAAAGCAGAGCAGGAGCGTAATGCTTCACTCACAGATTCACTGGCTGAGAGCCAGGCTGAAAACACCAGCCTGAGAAATCAGCTGCAGAAATACAAACTGCTGGAGCTGGAGAAAGGTGCAGCGGTAAATGACAGGCTGGCTCAGTCTGACAGAGAACAAGTGGAATGTGCAGCCCTGAGTCACAACTCTCTACAAGCAACCAATGCAGTCACTCACCTGCACAGCCCCTCAGCAAGGGTGAGCATACATTTGCCGAACAGCCATCCCGTGGGACTGTGGGCAGATCTCTAGAGGTTCTAGGGATGGGGAAGTCAAATGATTTTGCTATTAACCTGCACAAAAATGCAACAAGAGCCCACATATAGTGCTCGGTGTCTGCAGTAGTGCCTGAACATTGGCACGGACCTGCCTCACTGCAAATCCAGGATTCTGGTGAATACAGGCTCAGGAGCCAGTACACTGCTTAACAAAACTCATCCACATCCATTGAAATCTTGCAAAACCCGGAGAAATGTCTTGGGACCATGTTTACACAGAACACCACATTTTAATTCAGTACTCTATATGGAGCAGGAACTTTTCCAAATGTTCCAAATTCATGGAAACATAGAAGATAGGAGCAGGAGGAGGCTATTCGGCCCTTCGAGCCTGCTCCGCTATTCTTCATGATCATGGCTGATCGTCCAACTCAATAGCCCAATCCTCCTTTCTACCCATAACCTTTGATCCCATTCGCTCCAAGTGCTATATCTAGTCGCATCTTGAATACATTCAATGTTTTGACATCAACTACTTCCTGTGGTAATGAATTCCACAGGCTCACCACTCTCTGGGTGAAGAAATGTCTCCTCATCTCTGTCCAAAATGGTCTACCCCGAATCCTTAGACTGTGACCCCTGGTTCGGGACACACCCTCCATCGGGAACATCCTCCCTGCATCTACCCTGTCTAGTCCTGTTAGAATTTTATAAATCTCTTTGAGATCCCCCCTCATTTGTCTGAACTCCAGCAAAAACAATCCCAACCTAGTCAATCTCTCCCCATATGTCAGACCCGCCATTCCCGGAATCAGCCTGGTAAACCTTCACTGCACTCCCTCGAGAGCAAGAGCATCCTTCCTCAGAAAAGGAGACCAGAACTGCACACAATATTCTAGGTGTGGTCTCACTAAGGCCCTGTATAACTGCAACAACACATCCCTGTTCCTGCACTCGAAACCTCTCGTAATGAAGGCCAACATACCATTTGCCTTCTCTACCGCCTGCTGCACCTGCACGCTTACCTTCAGCGATTGGTGCACAAGGACACCCAGGTCCCACTGCACATTCCCCTCTCCTAATTTACAGCCATTCAGGTAGTAATCTGCCTTTTTGTTTTACTTCCCCTAAAGGGGCTGACTCTTACTGGGATACAGTTCCTGAAGGTGCTGACTCTCACTGGGATACAGTCCCTGAAGGGGCTGACTCTCACTGGGATACAGTTCCTGAAGGGGCTGACTCTCACTGGGATACAGTTCCTGATGGTGCTGACTCTCACTGGGATACAGTTCCTGAAGGGGCTGACTCTCACTGGGATACAGTTCCTGAAGGGGCTGACTCTCACTGGGGTACAGTTCCTGAAGGGGCTGACTCTCACTGGGGTACAGTTCCTGAAGGGGCTGACTCTCACTGGGATACAGTTCCTGAAGGGGCTGACTCACTGGGATACAGTTCCTGAGGGCGCTGACTCTGACTGGGATACAGTTCCTGAAGGTGCTGTCTCTCACTGGGATACAGTT